TGAACAGTTATCCTACGCCTAGTTTTCAAATTGGAACAAGATCTTTTCGAAGCGTTCGGTTGATTTCACCTCATTTGCGGCGACTACTGATATTAGTGATTCCTCAGGGGGGACTATTTAACCCTAACCCTGACCCTAGCCCTCCATTCACCACCCAAAAAGACAAGAAACTATCTTCAGCAAACAAAATTGCATACTCGGGGAATCGAACCCCGGTCTACCGCGTGGCAGGCGGTAATTATACCACTAAACCAAGTATGCTTTGCTTAATGAATCGGTCGTTCTTTTGGGTGTTCAACTCTTGACTTTACCATGTTTGTCAGCAACAATTGACACCCAAGACACTCGGACTGTTGGTTCCCCTATTCAAGACTTTTAATGTCAGGAAGTGACTTGGTCACTCCGCGCTTTCAAAACTTTTAATCAAAATTTAAATACCGACACCTGCAGGATTCGAACCTGCGCTCCCATAGGGAAATGCCTTAGCAGGGCACCGCGTTAACCACTCCGCCAAAGTGTCGATTGTTTATAAATAAGGTAATAATTTGAAGTTTCCATCTTGCTCGAAATCACCAATAAGTGTCTAATCAGATTTGTGCAAGAATGGGCTAGTAGGGAGAGAGAACAAATGCCGCATCCTGAGCAATGTGATATAGGATGAAGGCCCACCGCTCCAAGTCTCTTAGAAAACCTATAAGTATTGGCAGCAGCTAATCTTGGCTGATGACGTACATCAAGCTGCTCTCCATCGGAGTGCTTTTCAGAACAAAATATGATATATACTAGGCTAAACCTAACTTTGGTAGATGTTGCCGGTATGCTTATTGCCGAACCTACCCTAACCCTACTCATAACTCCAACTCTAGAAGAGCTTAGGTAGAACTTTTCGTTTATGCTATCCAATTTTCCTCGCTACGCATTACTAAGGAAAGTGAAAGTAGAGACTGAGATTGTTGGGGTTAAGTTCAAATCATTAGTGATGCTAGCCGACTAGCCCGAATAGCTCAGTCGGTAGAGCATGAGACTTTTAATCTTAGGGTCGGGGGTTCGAGCCCCCCTTTGGGCGTTACTCTCTTTTTCTACGGGCTTATAGGGAATCTAGGGTGACCCGTCATCAAAAGGATTTCTACCGCAATATCTCTCTTCTGGCCAATACCAGTCTAGATTGGGTTGGATTATTTCGTATTCGCAATATAAAGACAAAGCAGTCCATCTATCATATATTCTAATGCAAAGTAGTCAACAACAGATTTTATCCAGATTTTCATACATCTATATTTCCATGAATATTTGTTCTCCATGGCACCGGGATGCTCTAAGCTCTACTAGCATGTAGGTGGATCCTAAGTTATTTCGGATGGGGTTTTGTTCATTAAATTGATGGAGGTGATAAAAGAAAAAACTTGCTCACAGCAGGGGTCGAACCTGCGACCTTGGCGTTATTAGCACCACGCTCTAACCAACTGAGCTATGCGAGCAAACTCGACGACAGCAGGATTTGAACCTGCGCGGGCAGAGCCCATATGATTTCTAGTCATACGCCTTAACCACTCGGCCATATCGTCTAATACGTGAAGTGGCCCTGCTTCCAGCAACAAATCTGGCTTTTCCAAAGAGACTTGCACTTCTTGTTAGAAACCGATTTTCTAATCGGTTGGTTCTTCGTTTTCACACACAAGACCTCTTCGAATCGCCACCGCTTTGATACGGTCTTAACCCATTGATCGTTTGTTGCTTGTTATAATTAGTATAAATTATGTTACTATGTCGTACAAATAGAAAAGCAGCGTAGCGCAGAGGAAGCGCGCGGGGCTCATAACCCCGAGGTCGGAGGATCGAAACCTCTCGCTGCTATCTTTTGTTTATTTTGCATTGCAAAATTCATATGGACCGTGCTCTCTGCGTTCTTTCCCTACAGTTCTAGAATCCCTTTTGATATGTATTTGTATGGCTTCAGCTAGCCTTCTCATTGTATCTTCGGTGTAGCTTGCTTGCTCTCACTTTAGTGCTCGTCATTGCGAATTTACGCAGCATTTCCTCTGGTCTAAGCAATGGTCCCCTTGAATCTCAAGTAAGCTCGGATTAATTTCCTTAGTTGATCTGCACTTGCCAAAGAAATGAGGACATCCTGACGGGGAGGTGTGTTGGCATATGCTTTAGGTTTAGGGTTGCTGGAAAATGCAGATGCTATTTTAATTTCACAACGACCGAAAGTGGCCAGATAAAAGATGCAAAAGTTCAGCATCACTCCATTGTGCATATTCAATACAACATAAGCTGGGGAATGGCTCCCTAAGGATCGAACATCGATCCCCAATTGCAACCAAACTCGAGAGATCCCACTACGCTAGCCCTGCAGTCGTACAAATCACTAGTTAGTACTTTTCTGTGTACGAATCAGTTTACCTTAGCTTTGTTGGTTGGATAGGATATTCTACGTAACCTGCTTGCACACCAAATACTTCAATATGATAGTGTTTATCATTCCCTTGAGGGATGTTCTTATATTCCAGAGTTAGATTCAGGTTTATGCCTTGCATTTTGAGATATTGCATATGAAAGAGTTTAATATGTTCAATACAAATATCAATACAAAATTCATATATTCTCCTCATTGGTCCAGTGGTTAGGATTTCTCGCTCTCACCGAGACGGCCGGGGTTCGATTCCCCGATGGGGAACATTACTTTTAGCATGCCTACTTAAGCCTATTCACCTGGTTTATGTAGATGAGATGTTGTAGCAAAATCCTCACCGATATTTTGAGAAAGGAGGTGGACATTCAAGGTATTTGCATATCAAGCCTTCTTATTTGGAGGCCTAAGGGTCTCACAAATACCTCTCTGTCTGCCTTTGTGTGGATCAGAGCAGCATACTATGAAAAGCAATGCCATGATGGGATTTACTTGGAATGAGTACACTTGTTGTGTGCGTGCATGTATACTAATCTCCGTGATATCTCAACATACTTCCAATTACATTGCTATCACGCTTGTGTTTGTAAATGCTTCCTTAGCGCAGTTGGCAGCGCGTTAGTCTCATAATCTGAAGGTCGCCAGTTCGATCCTGGCAGGGAGCATTTTTACTTCTTTCAGCTACCATGGCGGAGGATAATATCGGGGCATTATTGGGCCATAATTTACTCAAACTAGTACATTACCCTGGGTGGAGTAATCCCCGGACACCATTGTGGATGTGTGTTGAACTCGTGCCGCTGTATATGCTTATATATACATTTACATGTATATATTACGCCATTTTTCTTTCCACCGCTTTATATTGAGTGCCAAATACTAAATCTTCTTAACACTGTTACCATCAACATGGTGTACAAAGCAGTGGGGAAAACAACATTACTTTGCTGTCCATACTCAGGATATCAAGTGCCCGGCTAGCTCAATCGGTAGAGCGTGAGACTCTTAATCTCAAGGTTGTGGGTTCGACCCCCACGTTGGGTGTAATATACTCTTTTTACAGATGCGTGCTGCATTCTTCCATATCTTTTACTCCGGTCTTTATATTTTTTTCTTTCACTGATGAATTGACTGGCCAATCCGTAGATCATCCGACCGAAATTTTCGAATTCTGTTCAACGTGATCAATAATTATTTCACCGATCAAATCAATCCATTCTACTCATCATGGAAATCAGTAGATAGCTAATCTACCTTGCATATGCATCTTTCCAGTACGTGTTAGCACTGGTTGTATCATACTATAGAACCGAACAGAATCCTTATTCATTGATTTTAGAGTGAGAGGATCCTCCCCTACCAGCAGTTCTTCACCTGGTTTGTATGTAGAGTATGACATGGCCTAGTAAATGCTAAAAATGACCTTACAGCGAATTTGTACACTGTACTGTTATTACACCAAGGTAATTACTTTTACAACCACCGGTCTGTAATAGTAATAGCTGGGTCAGGGCAATCTCCTCGAAAGGGAATCTGTTTATATAGGCGTGGTTGACGTGGTTGGCAACTCGGCTACAGATACAAGAAACATGCTTGAACAGTTATCCTACGCCTAGTTTTCAAATTGGAACAAGATCTTTTCGAAGCGTTCGGTTGATTTCACCTCATTTGCGGCGACTACTGATATTAGTGATTCCTCAGGGGGGACTATTTAACCCTAACCCTGACCCTAGCCCTCCATTCACCACCCAAAAAGACAAGAAACTATCTTCAGCAAACAAAATTGCATACTCGGGGAATCGAACCCCGGTCTACCGCGTGGCAGGCGGTAATTATACCACTAAACCAAGTATGCTTTGCTTAATGAATCGGTCGTTCTTTTGGGTGTTCAACTCTTGACTTTACCATGTTTGTCAGCAACAATTGACACCCAAGACACTCGGACTGTTGGTTCCCCTATTCAAGACTTTTAATGTCAGGAAGTGACTTGGTCACTCCGCGCTTTCAAAACTTTTAATCAAAATTTAAATACCGACACCTGCAGGATTCGAACCTGCGCTCCCATAGGGAAATGCCTTAGCAGGGCACCGCGTTAACCACTCCGCCAAAGTGTCGATTGTTTATAAATAAGGTAATAATTTGAAGTTTCCATCTTGCTCGAAATCACCAATAAGTGTCTAATCAGATTTGTGCAAGAATGGGCTAGTAGGGAGAGAGAACAAATGCCGCATCCTGAGCAATGTGATATAGGATGAAGGCCCACCGCTCCAAGTCTCTTAGAAAACCTATAAGTATTGGCAGCAGCTAATCTTGGCTGATGACGTACATCAAGCTGCTCTCCATCGGAGTGCTTTTCAGAACAAAATATGATATATACTAGGCTAAACCTAACTTTGGTAGATGTTGCCGGTATGCTTATTGCCGAACCTACCCTAACCCTACTCATAACTCCAACTCTAGAAGAGCTTAGGTAGAACTTTTCGTTTATGCTATCCAATTTTCCTCGCTACGCATTACTAAGGAAAGTGAAAGTAGAGACTGAGATTGTTGGGGTTAAGTTCAAATCATTAGTGATGCTAGCCGACTAGCCCGAATAGCTCAGTCGGTAGAGCATGAGACTTTTAATCTTAGGGTCGGGGGTTCGAGCCCCCCTTTGGGCGTTACTCTCTTTTTCTACGGGCTTATAGGGAATCTAGGGTGACCCGTCATCAAAAGGATTTCTACCGCAATATCTCTCTTCTGGCCAATACCAGTCTAGATTGGGTTGGATTATTTCGTATTCGCAATATAAAGACAAAGCAGTCCATCTATCATATATTCTAATGCAAAGTAGTCAACAACAGATTTTATCCAGATTTTCATACATCTATATTTCCATGAATATTTGTTCTCCATGGCACCGGGATGCTCTAAGCTCTACTAGCATGTAGGTGGATCCTAAGTTATTTCGGATGGGGTTTTGTTCATTAAATTGATGGAGGTGATAAAAGAAAAAACTTGCTCACAGCAGGGGTCGAACCTGCGACCTTGGCGTTATTAGCACCACGCTCTAACCAACTGAGCTATGCGAGCAAACTCGACGACAGCAGGATTTGAACCTGCGCGGGCAGAGCCCATATGATTTCTAGTCATACGCCTTAACCACTCGGCCATATCGTCTAATACGTGAAGTGGCCCTGCTTCCAGCAACAAATCTGGCTTTTCCAAAGAGACTTGCACTTCTTGTTAGAAACCGATTTTCTAATCGGTTGGTTCTTCGTTTTCACACACAAGACCTCTTCGAATCGCCACCGCTTTGATACGGTCTTAACCCATTGATCGTTTGTTGCTTGTTATAATTAGTATAAATTATGTTACTATGTCGTACAAATAGAAAAGCAGCGTAGCGCAGAGGAAGCGCGCGGGGCTCATAACCCCGAGGTCGGAGGATCGAAACCTCTCGCTGCTATCTTTTGTTTATTTTGCATTGCAAAATTCATATGGACCGTGCTCTCTGCGTTCTTTCCCTACAGTTCTAGAATCCCTTTTGATATGTATTTGTATGGCTTCAGCTAGCCTTCTCATTGTATCTTCGGTGTAGCTTGCTTGCTCTCACTTTAGTGCTCGTCATTGCGAATTTACGCAGCATTTCCTCTGGTCTAAGCAATGGTCCCCTTGAATCTCAAGTAAGCTCGGATTAATTTCCTTAGTTGATCTGCACTTGCCAAAGAAATGAGGACATCCTGACGGGGAGGTGTGTTGGCATATGCTTTAGGTTTAGGGTTGCTGGAAAATGCAGATGCTATTTTAATTTCACAACGACCGAAAGTGGCCAGATAAAAGATGCAAAAGTTCAGCATCACTCCATTGTGCATATTCAATACAACATAAGCTGGGGAATGGCTCCCTAAGGATCGAACATCGATCCCCAATTGCAACCAAACTCGAGAGATCCCACTACGCTAGCCCTGCAGTCGTACAAATCACTAGTTAGTACTTTTCTGTGTACGAATCAGTTTACCTTAGCTTTGTTGGTTGGATAGGATATTCTACGTAACCTGCTTGCACACCAAATACTTCAATATGATAGTGTTTATCATTCCCTTGAGGGATGTTCTTATATTCCAGAGTTAGATTCAGGTTTATGCCTTGCATTTTGAGATATTGCATATGAAAGAGTTTAATATGTTCAATACAAATATCAATACAAAATTCATATATTCTCCTCATTGGTCCAGTGGTTAGGATTTCTCGCTCTCACCGAGACGGCCGGGGTTCGATTCCCCGATGGGGAACATTACTTTTAGCATGCCTACTTAAGCCTATTCACCTGGTTTATGTAGATGAGATGTTGTAGCAAAATCCTCACCGATATTTTGAGAAAGGAGGTGGACATTCAAGGTATTTGCATATCAAGCCTTCTTATTTGGAGGCCTAAGGGTCTCACAAATACCTCTCTGTCTGCCTTTGTGTGGATCAGAGCAGCATACTATGAAAAGCAATGCCATGATGGGATTTACTTGGAATGAGTACACTTGTTGTGTGCGTGCATGTATACTAATCTCCGTGATATCTCAACATACTTCCAATTACATTGCTATCACGCTTGTGTTTGTAAATGCTTCCTTAGCGCAGTTGGCAGCGCGTTAGTCTCATAATCTGAAGGTCGCCAGTTCGATCCTGGCAGGGAGCATTTTTACTTCTTTCAGCTACCATGGCGGAGGATAATATCGGGGCATTATTGGGCCATAATTTACTCAAACTAGTACATTACCCTGGGTGGAGTAATCCCCGGACACCATTGTGGATGTGTGTTGAACTCGTGCCGCTGTATATGCTTATATATACATTTACATGTATATATTACGCCATTTTTCTTTCCACCGCTTTATATTGAGTGCCAAATACTAAATCTTCTTAACACTGTTACCATCAACATGGTGTACAAAGCAGTGGGGAAAACAACATTACTTTGCTGTCCATACTCAGGATATCAAGTGCCCGGCTAGCTCAATCGGTAGAGCGTGAGACTCTTAATCTCAAGGTTGTGGGTTCGACCCCCACGTTGGGTGTAATATACTCTTTTTACAGATGCGTGCTGCATTCTTCCATATCTTTTACTCCGGTCTTTATATTTTTTTCTTTCACTGATGAATTGACTGGCCAATCCGTAGATCATCCGACCGAAATTTTCGAATTCTGTTCAACGTGATCAATAATTATTTCACCGATCAAATCAATCCATTCTACTCATCATGGAAATCAGTAGATAGCTAATCTACCTTGCATATGCATCTTTCCAGTACGTGTTAGCACTGGTTGTATCATACTATAGAACCGAACAGAATCCTTATTCATTGATTTTAGAGTGAGAGGATCCTCCCCTACCAGCAGTTCTTCACCTGGTTTGTATGTAGAGTATGACATGGCCTAGTAAATGCTAAAAATGACCTTACAGCGAATTTGTACACTGTACTGTTATTACACCAAGGTAATTACTTTTACAACCACCGGTCTGTAATAGTAATAGCTGGGTCAGGGCAATCTCCTCGAAAGGGAATCTGTTTATATAGGCGTGGTTGACGTGGTTGGCAACTCGGCTACAGATACAAGAAACATGCTTGAACAGTTATCCTACGCCTAGTTTTCAAATTGGAACAAGATCTTTTCGAAGCGTTCGGTTGATTTCACCTCATTTGCGGCGACTACTGATATTAGTGATTCCTCAGGGGGGACTATTTAACCCTAACCCTGACCCTAGCCCTCCATTCACCACCCAAAAAGACAAGAAACTATCTTCAGCAAACAAAATTGCATACTCGGGGAATCGAACCCCGGTCTACCGCGTGGCAGGCGGTAATTATACCACTAAACCAAGTATGCTTTGCTTAATGAATCGGTCGTTCTTTTGGGTGTTCAACTCTTGACTTTACCATGTTTGTCAGCAACAATTGACACCCAAGACACTCGGACTGTTGGTTCCCCTATTCAAGACTTTTAATGTCAGGAAGTGACTTGGTCACTCCGCGCTTTCAAAACTTTTAATCAAAATTTAAATACCGACACCTGCAGGATTCGAACCTGCGCTCCCATAGGGAAATGCCTTAGCAGGGCACCGCGTTAACCACTCCGCCAAAGTGTCGATTGTTTATAAATAAGGTAATAATTTGAAGTTTCCATCTTGCTCGAAATCACCAATAAGTGTCTAATCAGATTTGTGCAAGAATGGGCTAGTAGGGAGAGAGAACAAATGCCGCATCCTGAGCAATGTGATATAGGATGAAGGCCCACCGCTCCAAGTCTCTTAGAAAACCTATAAGTATTGGCAGCAGCTAATCTTGGCTGATGACGTACATCAAGCTGCTCTCCATCAATCAATCCATTCTACTCATCATGAAAATCAGTAGATAGCAAATGTACCTTGTGTGTGCATTTTTCATGCACATGTTAGCACTTGTTGTTTTATGCTATCAAATCAAACAGGATCCATATTCATAGATTTTAGAGTGAGAGAGACATGCACTGAAGCCCTCAGACTTTATACACAGATTACTGGGATCTTCTTAAAGCTCTCTGATCACCAGTCTTACAAACTCCCCCTACAAGTACAAATACTGGTTAGCTACTCAATAAAACCAAAAGTGAATGTCATTCAATTCTACTTCTCAAGGTCACTTCTAATACACCCTAGAATCTTGTAACTGTTGTAAAAGTTTAAAATTCAACCTAAATATTTGCCTAATTTAGTCATCTAGATCGTTACCTTCAAATCCTAGAGGATACTGACCAAATTCCTTCATGGGATTTACCTTGAATATTTAACCAAGATATCAGGTACCCAAAGCATGAAAATTTGGTAAGTTGTCCAAATAGCCCCACACTTTGTACACATGTTCTTGGGACCTTCCTAAACCTACTCTATGTGTTTCTTATGCCAAGACCATGCAAAAGTATAAATACTACTTTGCATTCAATAAATCATTAAGTGAAAACCACATAGTTCACTTGTTCTCCCAATCACTTCCAATATCCCCAAGGCTCTTACAGCAGGTGATGAGCCCCAAGTTGTCACTCTCTGCAATGTCTATTACTGCTATTACCTGAATTTTTTCCCTCTGCTGAAAAGTTCAATGGATCTAACTACCAACTATGGAAGGTGAAGATGAAGATGCTGCTACAAGAAAGAGGCCTTTGGGATACTATCATGGGAGAAGAATGTCCTCCTAAAAGTGTGGCAGGGGAATCCTTAAAGTACCAGAAGAAAGAACAAAGTGCCTTTAACTGCATTTGCCTTAATGTTAAGGACAAATTGCCAATTCAAAGCTCAAGAGCAAAAATGGCAAAGAATGCCTGGAAGACATTAGAAGACACCTACCTGTCATGTTCAGTGGCCAAGAAAAAGTATCTTAGACAGAAATTCTTTACTACAAAGATGCTGCCTGGAGAAGAAATGAAAATCTAATTAACAGAATTACCCTGCAGGTGGATGAGATGGAATCTGTGTGCACACCAACTACTGATGAGGATGTGATAGTAACCATCCTGAATAGCCTGACAGACAAGTCTCAGGGCCTTGTATCAGCCCTAGAGTCCAGAACTGAAGATTTGACCTTAAATTATGTATATGGAAGGTTCCTGGATGAAGAATTAAGAAAATCAAGTGCCAATAAGAAGAAAGTAA